CTGGCAGTAAACGAGATTCCCCGCCACTAGCATTCCAGCCTGGTGACAGAAACGAACTCTGTCTCAAAAAAAAAACCAAAAAACCAAAAAACATCAAAATATGTTCATGATTGTTAAATGAAAAAAAGAGATTCTAAAGATTCGCTCATATTTGTTACTATATGTATAGCATTTTTTTAATTAACACTTTTTTTTTTTTTTGTAGAGACACCGGTTTTGCCATGTTGCCCACGGCTGTCCCCACCCAATCATATTACAGAACACTATTTAAAGATGTCGAGGCTGGGCACAGTGGCTCACGCCTGTAATCCCAGCACTTTGGGAGGCTGAGGCTGGCGGATCACCTGAAGTCAGGAGATCGAGACAATCCTGGCCAACCTGGTGAAACCCCGTATCTACACAAATACAAAAATTAGTCGGGTGTGCTGACGTGCACCTGTAATCCTCAGGAGGCTGAGGCAGGAGAATCGCTTTAACCCAGGAGGTGGAGATTGCAGTGAACCGAGATCTCACCACTGCATTCCAGCCTGGTGACAGAATGAGACTCTGTCTCAAAAAAAAAACCAAAAAAACCCAAAAAAACTCAAAATATGTTCATGATTGTTAAATGAAAAAAAGAGATTGCTAAAGATTGCTCATATTTTTACTATATGTATATGCATTTATTTTTAATTAAAACTTTTTTTTTTTTTTGTAGAGACACAGTTTTGCCATGTTGCCCACGCTGGTCTCAAACTCCTGAGATCAAACAATCCCAAAGTCCTGGGATTAGAGGCAAAAACATAATATTTATATAATTCACAAGGGGCCTAAGAATGAGAGACCCTAGAATGTTAATAATATGCTTGACCTTTTTCTTCCATGTATTTGCTTGTTTTTTCTATTTTTTTAAACAAAGGAGTTTTAAAAACGTTTATAAAAATAATTATTTTGTGTTTGTGTGTGTGTGTGTGTTGTTGTTGTTGTTGTTGTTTGTTTCGGCAGGGTCTCCCTCTGTTGCCCAGGCTGGATGGAGCGCAGCGGTGAGATCATAGTTCATTGCAGCCTCAACTCCTGGGCTAAAGCGAACCTCCCACCTTGGCCTCCCAATGTGCTGGGATTATAGGTGTGGCACTGAGACGGGTCAAAAATAATTATTTTGAAATAAAATCTTAATATTCTAAGGTTTCCTCTTAAATAGTACTTCCAGGCGCCTTACACAATAATTAATCCTTCTTGCTCTGATTTCCCTACAACGTGTAAGATGTTTAATGTTTGGATCAGAAAAGGCTCAGAAATCTGTCAATCAAGAGTCAGTTATTCCAAGAAGCAAGCTTAAAGAAAATTGGTCTTGACCACTAGTCTGGGAGAAACCGGGTGCTCCTTCCCACGGCGTGGGCCCTGAGCCGAGGGATAGCGGAAGCAGCTAGGGGTGCAGGAGGCGCTAGCTGCCCCAGGGTGGCTTTTCAGCGGAGGAGTGAGGGCCGACGCACCTGGGAGTGCAGGAGCTGCACGCGGTCGCTGGCGTCCAGCAGCTCCTGCTCCGACAGCCTGCGGGTCCGCTCCGTTTGCTCCAGGGCCACCTTCATTTCCTCCAGCTCCTCCAGCAGGAGGCCATTCCTGCGCTCCACGATGGCCAGCTGCTCCTTGAGGTCGTCATTGCTTCTCAGGGCGTCGTCCAGGTGCAGCTGGGAGTCCTGCAGGGGAGACCCGGAGTGAGGCCAGAGGTGCCCGGCAGGCTGCAGCCCGTCCAGGTACGCAGAGGCGGCCACCGTGCTCACCTTGAGCTGGCCCTGGACCGTGCGCAGGTGCTTCTGGGTCTCTGCCACCTGGCGGTTGGAGTGGCCCAGCTGAATCTCCATCTCATTGAGATCTCCCTCCATCTTCTTCTTCACTCTCAGGGCGTCGTTCCGGCTGCGGATTTCAGCATCCAGCACGCTCTGCATGGCCTCCGTTGCCCGCTGGCTGTTTCTTTTTAGCTGCTCGATTTCTTCATCCTTCTCAATGACCTTGCGGTCTAGCTCGGATTTCACCTGGCTTAGCTCTAGCTGGACGCGCAAGATCTTGCTCTCCTCGTGTTCCAAGGAACCCTGATGAAAGCAAAGGAGTGACTGGGAGTACTGTGGACAGCCACCTTCATGAATGGGTATTTTCATCCCCATACAATCAAATGGGTATTCTTTTTAAAAAAAAATTAAATTAAAAAAAAATTTTTTTTGGTAGAGACAGAGTCTGGCTATGTTGCCCAGGCTGGTCCTGAACTCCTGGGCTCAAGTGATCCTCCCTCCTTGGCCTCCTAAAGTGTTGGGATTACAGGTGGTGTGAGCCATGGTGCCCAGCCCAAATAGGTTTGTGTTTTTGTTTTTTTTTGACAGAGTCTCTGTTGCCCAGGCTGGAGTGCAGTGGCGCAATCTCGACTTACTGCGACCTCCACCCCCTGGGTTCAAGCAATTCTCCTGCCTCAGCCTCTGGAGTAGTTGGGATTACAGGTGCCCGCCACTGTGCCTGGCTAATTTTTGTATTTTTAAAGACAGGATTTCACCATGTTGCCTAGGCTGGTCTCGAACTCCTGACCTTCCAGGTGATCAGCCTGCCTTGTCCTCCCAAAGTACTAGGATTACAGTTGTGAGCCACCATGCCCGGCTGCAAGTAGGTATTCTTACACTGATTTTATAGATGAAGAGAACAATACTCAGAGAGGTCCGAGTATTTGACTTGCTCCCAAATATCCCTAATAGTGATGAAACTGGGACTAAAACTTTGCATCCCTCGTGAACAAATTTCTTATGACTTGAGATAGAGTATCCTTCTTAATTAGTGAAAATTTTACTGAGGGTGTCTATTTTAATAATAACCATAAATCGAGAGTCATCCTATTCTCCAAAATCACAGGGCGATTGCTCTCCTGTTATCCTGTGTTGGTTCGTATTTCCCTAGAAACCACCAGTCATCCTGGCCACCGCCGATTACTGCATCAGGAGACTCTGGGTGTGTTTTGATTGTACAGGATTCTTGCTAGCCAAAGATGATTGTCTGTGCCTCTGTGTTAAACATAACTGAGAGATGCTGCACTGCTCTCAGGATGTTAGGTGATTGATTTTCTGCTTCCTGAGAGGAAGACATTGAAGACATAATGAACACATTAATTTATTTTCAAAAGAGGAACTGTGCCAGAGGACACCCAGGAGATAAAGTAGCAGCCCGTGGCTGTTTCAGCCCCTGGGATGGCTGAACGTTTCTCCCACTGGAAACTCAGGGCCTCCTGGCAGGAAGGGCCCCATGGGGTGGTGACGGGCAGCCTCTCTTAGTTCCTGGTCCTCCTGAATTTCCGAATGTCATAGCCCAGACACTTACCTCCACTTCTTCTAAGGCGACCTGCAGATCTGACTTTTCCTGCTCCACTAGCTTCTTGGTCTTTTCCACTTCCTGAAGATTCTTGCCAGTTTCTGCAATCTGCTCAGTTAAGTCGGAAATCTCTTCTGCAAAGGACAGGCTCGATTTAGGCTGTTTCAACAGGCTCCAGTTTATGGCATAGGCATTTGCCAGGCAATTCAGGGATGGGCGATTCATTCGTGGCGTTTATATAGGAGAGAATACAGGGTAGCTGTTCGGATGAGGTTGGCAAGACAGGGATGCGTTACCTCACCTGCACTAGGCAGACAGGAACCACAAGTGAAGAATAGAAACTTAAAACTTCAAAAGTACTGTATACAAAACGGTCATAGAGCAGACCAGAGAAAACAATTGTGGGGAAAAGGCATAGAATCATAGTCTGCAGAACCAGAAGGGGCTTTGGAAAGTGCTGGGTGTGGTCTTCAGACTTTGTAGATTGGAAGTCTGAGGTCCTAAGGGATTCAGTGGCATACCCAAGAATACAGAGCCACTTAGAGACAGAATCACCGAAGGGTCTTCTCTAACAGAGCAGTGGGCTCAGCAACCCATTGTGCCTTCGGTTCTCGAAAATGAGACTTAGCTCCTGCTGTGCCTTACATTAAAAAGGTTTGGACCTTGGGGCAAACTGAATAATGTGAAGCATGATGGCTGAGGATTGTGTGGGGCAGTGGGAAGAAGGCGTCTGCAGATGGCTGTGACCAAATGGGGAAGGGGTTGGCAGGAGGAGACGGGGACGTAGCACACACCGGTGGTGGAGAGAGCTCACCTTGCAGATTTTTGTTCTCCCGCCTCAGTGTCTCTAACTGATCCACCACCTCCTCGTAGGCGTTCCTCATCTTGAAGAGTTCGGTGCTGAGTGACCTGGACTCCTTCTGAGCAGCTTCCAACTCAGCCTGGCTTTCGTCCAGCTTTTGCTTCCACTCTGCGAGGACCTGGGAGATTGACAAAGGGACATAGGAGAAGCAAAAAGCAGGGGTGACTCAGAAGAGTTCCTGCAAACAAGGGCTATCAGTAACGCCAACGTTTTGCTCTTCCATCCTTAGGGACTGAAGAAAGAGGAGGAGCACTGTTCTAGATCCGGGACCCCAAACTGTGATATTCCTGCAGGCCCTCTGCTGCGTTCTCACAGACATTACGATCTCAATGGAACTGAATTAGCTTTCACTGAAAACAAAATTGCCTCTGGAGGGACTGTCACAGTCGTCAAGAGACACCTCAAGTCCCCCAAACTGGGAAATGATGCTCCAACTGGGGGCCTTGTAGGATGTGCAGGTATCTCACACATCTAAGTGTGAAACTGTTGTTTTCACCACTGCCACTGTAAAACATTTGACCCTTTTCCAAATTCAGGTATATTCATGTAAATAGCATTTCCCCAACTTGAATCATCCCCATGCCTTCTTCACAGAGAAAGTGGCTGGGGAAGGACCTTGTCAAAGTTCCTCTGCTTCTTGTCCAGGGTGGCACAGGCGGTGTGGGAGCGCTCCAGATCCAGCATCAGATCATCCACCTCTCCCTGCAGCCTCTGCTTGGTTTTCTCCAAGGATGCGCACTTGGAGTTCGCCGTCTCCGTGTTCTCCTCTGCTTCCTGGAGCCTCTGGGCCAGTTTTTTCCTATGAAAACCAGATTTTTTTTTTTTTCCCCTTGGCAAAGGTGGAATATTTCTGAAGGTAACTGTCAGATGGGAAGAGAAATGAATAGCATGGAAGGGATTGATGTTTGATGACACCAAGACCTAGGATTTGGTGAGTGGAGAGGATCCAAGTGTCACTGGGAGAGTCTCAAAATGCTTGGTGGCAAAGCAGGTCCCTAAGGAGGCCCCCAGGGAGCTAGGGGGAATGGACAGTTCCCGAGAAGAAGGACAGGGAGACCCGCAGAGGGTGGGGGGCACAATCTGAATGTTTCAGAAACCACAAAGGCATGGGCAGGAAAGAGACAATCTTTCAAGATACGAAGACTCCTGGTCCCTTGGCTTGTGCCCTCAGGCTCCCCCTGCTATTGCCACCCTGGAGTCCCTACTTGGCCTCCTCCAGCTCCTCTGTGCGCTGGATGGCGTCCGTCTCGTATTTGGTCCTCCACTGAGCAACCTCACTGTTGGCCTTGGACAGCGCCCTCTGCAGCTCGGCCTTAGCTTCCTGCTCCTCCTCATACTGTTCCCGCAGCAGGTCACAGTCGTGGCGGGAGGACTGCAGGGCGTGTGCCAGGGCGTTCTTGGCCTGGGAATGACAGTGGTGACAAATTGCAAAAACATTTGACCCTTTTCCAAGTTCAGGTATTTTCATTTAAATAGCTTTTCCCCAGCTTGAATTATCCCTATGCTGTTTTCACCAAATTTGCCATATCAGCAGATCGCCTGGTTTATTTAATTTTTTCAAGTGCGCTCCTTAATTATATTTAAATATATTTAACAAAAGAGTGAACTGTTACAGGACAGTAAGTGGAAAACCACTGACATTTGTCATAAACCGAAGGTAACCGTAAGTGCAATGGAAATAAGGCAATATTATCACGTCTAGCTAGGTATTGTTGCCTGCTGGGACTCCATGCCTGGGGTCTACGCTCTATTTCTTAGTAGGGTAAATAAGCAAATGCTAAGGAAGTATGGTTCACGCTGAGGCCTTTTCCTTGATATAATCAGAAGGTTTGGAACAATTAAAAAGGGAAGAATTTTCTCGCTACTTGATGCAATGGTACGGAATGCTGTGACCCGGAGAAGCCTGAAGGCATCTTTTGATGTCACCAGTGGGCTGTGTCCCCACACTGGGGACTGCTGATGTGAGCTTTGCTGTTTCCACCGCCCGACTTCCTCCTCCTAGGCAGAGAAGACATGCCTAGAGGCGTCCGTCCCTCACTCCCTCCCATGTGGAGGGACGGAAGGGCAACAGTTTACCTCCGACTATAATGGCCACAAGACGCCCTCTGGTGCCACCATCAAAGAGAGAGTTCTGTCAGCCCACTTTAGTAATTTGTACATTTTCATCTTTTTAAATATACAATAGGCCAGACGTGGTGGCTCATGCCTGTAATCCCAGCACTTTGGAAGGCCGAGACGGGCGGATCACCTGAGGTTGGGAGTTTGAGACCAGCCTGACCAACATGGAGAAACCCTGTCACTACCAAAAACACAAAATTAGCCGGGCGTGGTGGCCCATGCCTGTAATCCCAGCTACTTGGGAGGCTGAGGCAGGAGAATCGCTTGAACCCGGGAGGCAGAGGTTGCGGTGAGCCAAGATCGCGCCATTGCACTCCAGCCTGGGCAACAAGAGTGAAACTCCATCTCAAAAAAAAAAAAGGCAATAAATGGGAAACTTTGCCTAAGAAGGAAAACAGCTGTTGCTGTATCGTGGCCAAAGGACAGCCGGCTCCTCCTGCAGTGGCCCTCCTCAGTACTTGTTCAGGCTTGGGTTCTCACCACTTCCCCCTGCCCCCTCATCTACTGAAGATCTTCACCATAGAACAGAAAGATGGGAGACAAATATGGCATTTGTCCTTTTTCAGAAGAAAAAGGTGGAGCTTGGGAAAATTCCAGAAGATTGCCCTATAAGTCTTAGCCAGCGTATAGCAACCTCGGAGTTCCATTCATGCAGTTTTGTGGACTCTTGGTTCCCTATTCTGATACTTGAACAGGAATTGGCAGCACCAAGCACCTACTGTGTGCACTGTTCTTCTGGGCAAAGTAGGTACAGTGAGGACAAACTATTCTTGCCCTCCATGAGTTCACAGATCTGTGGGGAGACACATATTATAAACATAGTATCTAGATCTTGAAATCAAGAAGGCGATGATGTTCATGTTTATGCAACTGTCTCCAGGGTGCTCCCAAAACCACGGAGTCTTTTTGGAGGACGGTAGCTTAAAATCAGGTGGTATAGGAGGTGACACACCAGGAATAATGAAGAAGAAAGAGGAAGGGATTTCAAGTGGCCGGAATGAATTGCTGGGCAGAATGGTCAAGTGTGTACAGTGATCGGGAGGAGGTGCCCTGGCTGGAGAGGGGAGTTTCTCAGACTACCCTATGGGGGACAGAGGGCATGGACCACCATGGGTATGATTTTCTATCCCTGAAGAAGGAGATCTAATGCCAAGGTCCTCTAACTTTAAAGGACAGGTTCGCACCATGCTGCAAGGCAGACAGGAGAAGCAACAGGTTTCTTCTTTTCTTTCTTTTTTTTTTTTTTTTAGCGGAGTCTTGCTCTGTCTTCTAGGCTAGAGTGCAGTGGCGTGATCTTGGCTCACTGCACCCTACCCTCCGCCTCCCGGGTTCAAGGAATTCTCTGCCTCAGCCTCCTGAGTAGCTGGGATTACAGGCACCTGCCACTACGCCCAGCTAATTTTTTTTTGTATTTTTAGTAGAGATGGGGGTTTCACCATCTTGGCCAGGCTGGCCTTGAACTCCTGACCTCGTGATCCACCCGCCTCAGCCTCCCAAAGTGCTGGGATTACAGGCGTGAGCCACTCACTGTGCCCGGCCGCAGCAGGTTTCTTGATGTAGCACTGCTCCGACCAGCTTCACAGGTGAAGTGGTCATACAGCCTGGTTTCTCAGGTTCAATCTGACTCTATATCTTTACCTTCGTTTCTTCTTCCATTTGCCTCTTAAGCTCCTCCAGCTGCTGGGTGAGGGCCTGCTTGCTTTTGGTCAGCTGTGAAATCAGAGATTCCTTCTCTTCCACTTGGTGGCTCAGCTCCCCTACCAAACAGATGTGGCCCCCACGTCAGTGTTACCGACCACCCTCTCCCATGGCCCAGCTGGACCTCAGAGCTCTGCCCATTCTCACCATTCTGGGTCTGTAGTCTTGCTTTCTGCATGTTCAGATCATGGATCAACTGTGTCTGTTGCTCATCCTTGGCTTTGATTTCACTAAATTGGTCTTCTACCGTCCGGCACGTTCTTTCTATGTTACTCTTTAACAAATAGAAAGTCACCATGAATGGGAAAAAATGGATTCCTAGTGCCCAGCATTGAACTGAACAGTGTGATCGTTTAGCTTCTTGTCAGGTAAAATAAAACTACAAATACAGAACAAAAAAAGAGTCAGTTGAAAATCGTAATTGACTGGGCGCAGTGACTCACGCCTATATCCCAGCACTTTAGGAGACCGAGGTGGGTGGATCCCTGAGGTCAGGAGTTTAACACCAGCCTGACCGACATGGTGAAATCCCATCTGTACTAAAAATACAAAAATTAGCTGGGCATAGTGGCAGGCACCTGTAATCCCAGCTACTCGGGAGACTGAGGCAGGAGAATCGCTTGAACCCAGGAGGCGGAGGTTGCAGTGAGCAGAGATCATGCCATTGCACTCCAGCCTGGGCAGCAAGAGTGAAACTCCGTCTCAAAAAAAAAAAAAAAAAATCATAATCATTTCAGATTTGTGAATGCAGCTCAATCACCAATCACTTGGAACATCAGTTTTTGGTAGGAAAGTATTTAATGATTTGTAAACAACCCTTTGAGAAAATGCCACTTTTAAGTGGATCCTTGGGATCCTTTTGTAATATAAGTAATTTGTGAATAATTGCAAGCAATACAAGCCTGTGAATATTTGCAAGCAATATATTCAGATGACAGCGTTAAGCATTTCATTCAATAACACAAAAGGTTCCCGATGGTGGAGGTGGTATGAAGGGATTCACTTCCCCAGCCTCCAGTTGGCCTGTATTTTTGTGAAGTTTATTCAAAACCCTTATGTGTGTTGACCTTTCTCTCCTCCTGCTGCTCCATAAAATAGAAAATAAAATGTATGGAGCATATGTTTTTCCTTAGAATGCGAAGTATGAGCTGGCAGTGGAGGAAGCAGGGATACTGATTCCCGGGGAGTCCTGGAGGAGCTTAGGATCTCTTTGAGAAGATGACACGCAAGCATGAAGGAATCAAAGCAGGGAGGGTTGAAAAGCGATGGCGACTTGCAAGAAGAGACGTGAAAGGGGCCAACTGAAAAAGTGTAAAGAAACATGAAGTGCTGCTTCCCCTGGATGTTAAAATTGAGAACAGAGAGCAGCACACGGCAATTCTGGAGAGAGGGAGGCTGGAGTGGGGGCTGTTTATAGGCACAGTGCGTGGGGGATGCTGGAGGCTCTTCCTACCCACCTTCCCCTGCAGGCTGGCCTGGCTCGCGGAGAGAGAGGTGTGGGAGGGGAACATGTACAGACCCAAGTTCTTAGAGGAAGAAAGAAAACCAAGAAAGGGAAAAAGGGCAAACAAATGGGAAAGCAGGAAAGAAGGAGAAAAGGAGTCATCACTTGGAGCCAGAGGCTGCAGTCGGGGAGTGAAGAAGCAATCAAGGGAAAACAAGACAGTGTGGACGCAGACCCTAAACACTGGCAGCAGGGGGCGCTGGAGAGACCACTCTAGTTCTCTGATCCACATCTCCCTTCCTTTTCTGGACAGATGCCCTGACCTTCCAGGAAACCCTTGGTGAGAGGCCCACAGCCCTACTTCTAGGGTCACCACTGCTTCTTCCAGCCCAGCCAAACAGCTCCTAGTACAGCTCAGAGCACCCTGCAAGGAGGGCAGGTGTTAAATCGAGGAGCACACATGCTCCACGAGGAATGCTTTGCTTTGAGGTCATGCACAGAGGTGGGTTCACTATGAAGCTTGTGAAATAAGCTTCAGGGCCCGCAATTTGCATGGACCCCAGAGAGTCTGGGAGCTGCAGAAGGTTTGAGGGAAGAGGAGCCATCCCAAGCAGAATATATTCTAGAAGGCATTTCTGGCAAATGGCCCAAAGAGGCCTCAGGAGAAAAGAACTTGAGTCTTCAAGGTAACCTGCGACACTTTTGTGTCATTATAAGTATTAACTTTCATGCCTAAGTTTCATAAGTTTGTACACTTTTTTCTGAAAGAACCCCAGTCGGCCAGGCACAGTGGCTCATGCCTGTAATCCCAGCACTTTGGGAGGCCGAGGTGGGTGGATCACCTGAGGCCAGGAGTTCAAGACCAGCCTGGCCAACGTGGTGAAACCCCATCTCTATCAAAAATACAAAAATTGGCCGGGCGTGGTGGCGTGTGCCTGTAATCCCAGCTACTTGGGAGGCTGAGGCAGGAGAATTGCTTGAACCCCGGAGGGAGAGGTTGCAGTGAGCTGAGATGGCGCCACTGCGATCCAGCCTGGGGAACAAGAGTGAAACAGTGGCACCAGATCATCCAACTGTGCTTGAATCAAGTGGTCTTGATGCTTTGGTCTTAAAGTTTGTGTCTCCCCAAAATTCATAATTTCTAGTCCAGTGGTGTTGGGGGGTGGGGCTTTGGGGAGGTGATAAGGTCACGGGGGTGGAGCCCTTATGAATGGGATTAGTGTTCTTATAATAGAGGCCTGAGAAAACTTGTTCACCCCTTCTACCACATGAGGATGCAATGAGAAGGCACCATCTGTGAGGAACAGACCTTCAACAGACACCGAATTTGCTGGCACTTTGATCTTGGACTTCCCGGCCTCCAAAATTGTGAGCAATACATTTCTGTTGTTTATAAATTACCCACTCTAAAATGTTTTGTTACAGCAGCCCAAATAGATAAGACAAAGGACGTGAGTGAATTTGAGGAACTGGAAACAGGCAGAAATAGGGAAGAGGGTTTCGGTGTAGAACATGCAGTGGTTTGGAGGCATCAAATTACACGTGCCCAGGGGCAGGTGGCCACCGGCTGCCTTGCATTCTGCAAGAGCAGAAAGGTCAGTCAGGTACCTTTGACTTGGAGATGGCTTCGATGTTGCTGGCCATGTCATCGATCTCCATCTTCAGCTCACTCTTCTCCTTCTCTAGCTTCTGCTTCACCCGCTGCAGGTTGTCAATCTGCTCCCCAAGCTCAGCCATACTATCTGCGTGCTTCTTCCTCAGGGTGGCCGCCGTGGCTTCGTGCTGCAGGGTGGCCTCCTCCAGGTCCCTGCGCATTTTCTGGAACTCAGCCTCCCGCTTCTTGTTCATCTCAATCTGGGCTGAAGTGGCCCCACTGGCTTCTTCCAGCCTCTCACTGATCTCCTCCAGTTCCCGGGCCAGATCTGAGCGCTGCTTCTCAATCTTGGCTCTGAGTGTGTGTTCTGCTTCAGTTTCCTCCTCCAGCTCTTCTATGCGAGCCTGAAAGGATCACTGTATCAGGACTGTTATTGTGGAGGAGGGGGCAGCCTCCTTTGAGAGGGGCTAGGTGTTGAGGAATTGCAGGTAGGCAGCACGAGGTGGGTGGATCATTTGAGGTCAGGAGTTTGAAACCAGCCTGGGCAACATGGTGAAACTCCGCCTCTACTAAAAATACAAAAATTAGCCGGGTGTGGTGGAGGCCACCTGCAGTCCCAGGTACTCGGGAGGCTGAGGCAGGAGAACAGCTTGAACCTGGGAGGTGGGGGTTGCAGTGAGCTGAGATCACGCCGCTGTGCTCCAGCCTGGGTGACAGAGACTCGGACTCAGAAAACAAACAAACAAAAAAAGAATTCATTATAACATTACATTGGTGAAAAAACTTGGAAACAACCTAAATGTCCATGAATAAGGGAATGCACCAATCGACTGTGATGGAGACTTGTTCTAGAAGTCTATGGAGCAGGTAGACACCAATCCACGTCTATCATGGATAGCTCTGCAGATCACATTGCCAAAAGAAAGGAGCAAGTTGCAGAGTGATACTCTCAGTATGATATTTATGCTAAGAATATAAAGAAACAAGAACCTTTTCTGCATGTGTACTATATATGTTTTGGGGGGTCTTAAATGTGTACAAAAACACATAGCAAAAGAGGCAGAAGGATGGACATCCCACTGAAACTGGTCATTACTTCTGAGAAGATGGTGAGGGCACTGGGCTTAGGGGTGGTGGTCAAAGCACCCTTATCAATAATATTTAGCTTTACTGGGCCTATTTTGAGCCTTTGCAAGGAAGTATGTTTATGGGTTACTCAGAACATTAAAATATTATTTTCAAAAAGGAAAGGAAAGGACAGGACATCTTCTCTAGCTTTAGCAGGAGGAAGGAAAGCAGCAGCTAAAGAAACGATGGGGAAGGAGTGAGGAGGGGCACTCTTGCAAAGGGATTGTCATGATTGGGAAGGTTTTGATGTTTTACCTGCAGTTCTTTAATCTTCTTTTGAAACTGCAAACTGTGGACCTGTTCGTCATCTATTTTGGCTTGTAACTGACTGATTTCAAACTCCTTCCTGCAAATAGATTTTAAAAAAAGAACATGAGATACAAGCCTCTTGGAGGGGATGAAAGTTGGCTTTTAGGCTGAGACACAGAGGTGGTAAAAGAAATATCTACTTTTTAAATTTCTCTTCTATTTGCTGCTTGTCATTTTCTAGATCCATAATGGATTCCTGGGACATTTTCAGATCTCCTTCCAGCTTCCTCTTCGCCCTTTCCAGGTCCGCCCGCAGTTTCTTTTCCTGCTCTAAGGAACCCTCAAGCTGAGAAGACACACAGGTAGAAAAGTAAGCCCCTGCTGGGGAAGCGTTTGCTCCTTTCATTCAGCGCAGCCATACACGTGACCTGGGGCTTCCTGGGGCTCCTGTAGGGTGCTGGCTGCAAGCCTCTGGCCCCAGGAGGAAGCAAGTCTTGTCCCCTACCTCCCCTCTCTTCTGTCTTCCAGAAAAGGCTACCCAGGGTGGGGCTGGATCCTTCATGGGCCTCCTGGTGCCTCTCTCAACTGATTCCCACTCGGCCTGGCCCAGACCATGTTCCATGGAGGGGTGTGGTACTCACGGGTGCACACTCTTGCACAGACAATACAAATGGGGGCTTCTATGGACAGCACTGTGAAGGTCTATGCTCTACACCATCACGCATTCCCTGCTAACATTACGCAACCATGGGAGGCAAGGAATTCATGTGTGTGTATGTGTGTGTGCGTGTATGCACACACACACACACGCACACATGGGAACAGGAAACAGGGGCGTAGAGGAGGAGCACACCTACCCTGGGCTCAGAAACATTAAAGTTATCTAGAAAATCTCTAGCCACAATAATGATTAAAACCTGAAAACTTCAAAAGTGGCTCTTACATCAATAATAATAACGTCATGGGATGGGGGTGGAAATAGTAATTTTCGTGGCCACAAATGGAACTCCTCTTTAATAACGTTACAACAGGATTGGAGGTTTTGGAACCCAAAGGACCTACAGGTGGATGCTAATAATACTGATGATGGTGATGATAGCAGTAATAGCAGCTATGTTTTGCTGAACACTTTGTGTGTGCTGAGCTTTCTGTGAAAACCCTCTGAGATGATGCTATTTCCATCGCCATTTCACAAGGCACAAACGGAGGCTTTGCAAGGGTAAGCAGCTTGCTTAGTATCCCAGACTCCTTCAGGGTCAGGATTGGGCTGAGATCTGAACTTAGGGATGCTGATTCCAGAGTCTGACCTCTCAAGCCCTGCGTCCTAGTTAGACCGTCTCTTGTCTGTGCTTCCACAAGTGATAAATGCTAAAGCATAGTAGTAAAATATCCTTACATCATCTGTTTGCTGTTCAAGCTTGGCATTTATTTTGATTAGACCATTGACTTTATCTTCTTCAACCTGAAGGTCATCCAGTGTTTGCTGATGGGCCTCCTGTAGAGACTTCTTTTCTTTGGTCAATTTGGAAATGTTTTCTTCAAGTGCTGTCATTTCTTCGGAGAGATTCTTTACCTGGGACAATATCAACACTGATTTAATATGGAAAACGATTAAGCCAGAAGCTTCCATCAACAAAAGCTATTGCTTCTTTGCTCATTTTTCCTCTTTCCCTTTTCTTTTTGGCTACTACTTTTTTACCTCCTGGAATTGACAGACTCTCAGTTCTTTATCTTCCTTAACGGTCTATCATGGCGCCTCAAATTCTCCCATTAGGATTATTCATTTAAGGAGGGCATTATATTCTATAAGGAAGGGCACTGTTAAAATGCAAATGTGCTACCTCTGAAGGGTAACACATCAATCTATATTTGCTCATAACACGTCTGTGGAAATGTGTTTATTAGGTTGGCTGGCTGAATAGGGTTTAGAATGAGGCAGGAAGGGGAGGAGAGGCGTGAGGTGCTCTGCAAGAAACTTCATGTCGGGTGCAGTGGCTCACGCCTGTAATCCCTGCACTTTGGGAGGCTGAGGTGGGCAGATCATGAGGTCAGGAGATCGAGACCATCCTGGCTAACACTATGAAACCCCATCTTTACTAAAAATACAAAAAAATTAGCCGGGCGTGGTGGCGGGCACCTGTAGTCCCAGCTACTCGGGAGGTGCGGGACTGCGTGCTGGGAGACGGAAGCTTACAGAAGGCAGAGATCCACAACTGCACTCACCTGGGAGACCAGGTGAGACACCGTCTGAAAGAAGAACAGAAAGACAAAGAAAGCGGAAAGAAAGAAAGACACAAGGAGGGGAGGGGAGGGCGGGGGGCGGCGGGGAGGGGGAGGCGAGGCAGGAAGCACAGCACAAACCCAGGGCAAGAAAAGCAAGAAAAGAAAAGAAAATTCAGAACAAGAGTGCTGTGTTATCAGGAAGCAGGAGGAGGGCACCCAACATGGAACTTGAAGGAAGTAAGTGAAACTTTTTCCACATCCAACAGGCCTCCAGATCAGAAGTTGCTAACTCCTAATCTATGGGCTGAATCTAGCCATATTTTCTTTAGTCCACATAGTAGTTTACAATGTTATTACTTACAATTTTGTTTGTTTGTTCTTCTTTTGTTTTGTTTTGTTTTTGAGATGGAATCTCTCTCTGTTGTCCAGGCTGGAGTGCAGTGGTGCAATCTCTGCTTACTGCAAGCTCCACCTCCCGGGTTCACACCATTCTCCTGCCTCAGCCTCCCGAGTAGCTGGGACTACAGGTGCCCACCACCACACCTGGCTAATTTTTGTATTTTTAGTAGAGATGGGGTTTCACCATGTTAGCCAGGATGGTCTCGATCTCCTGACCTTGTGATCTACCTGCCTTGGCCTCCCAAAGTGCTGGGATTACAGGTGTGAGCCACCGCGCCCGGTCTGTAGTTTTTAAAATGTTATCAACATTGAAAAAAATGAGACTTCCCGTAAAACTCGGATTTCTGGCTTCTCATGGAAAATCAGAAGTTCTGAAAATGCTGGATTCCCATTCCCCACTGACAACAGTTGGCTGGGGCTGAGTCACCACTGCCTTCTGTGGACAGGGCAAGAGCTCTTCAGTTTGCCACAGTCCCCAGCCCTTCCGAGTGTCTTTTTCCATTACTCCCAGCGTCTATCCAACACTGACTCTGAGTGTCAACTGTCATTGTCTCTTACGCTCAGCAGTTCACATCCCTTAGCCCACCTCATGGGCAACCCATTATGATGTGAATCATGTCAGTGGTTTTATATATTTTTGTTGAAATGTATGTTGTTGTGTTGTGTGCATATGATTTTTGTCTACATAAATGCTATTATGCTATATACTTCATTTTCTTTTTCTTTTCTTTTTTTTTGAGATGAGTCTTGCTTTGTCACCCAGGCTGGAGTGCAGTGGTGCGATCTCGGCTCACCACAATCTCTACCTCCTAGGTTTGAGTGATTCTCCTGCCTCAGCCTCCCAAATAGCTGGGAATACAGGCGCCCGCCACAACGCCCAGATAATTTTTGTATTTTTCGTAGAGACGGGGTTTCACCGTGTTAGCCAGGATGGTCTCGATCTCCTGACTTCATGATCCGCCCCCGTTGGCCTTCCAAAGTGCTGGGATTACAGGCGTGAGCCACCGTGCCTGGCCCTATATTTCATTTTCTTACATTTTCTCACCATTTAGCAGTATTTAATATTTGCTGTGCACAACCCATTGTTCCTAATGGCTACGTGGTTCTCCCTGGTGTGTATCTACTACATGTTATCTCTCCATTTTCCCCGTGGTGGACGCTGGCACTGCCTCCAGCTGTCTCCCACAAGCAATGCCACTACAAACACCCTAGGACGTGTCGCCTTGGAGAAAGGTGGAAGAATTCCTCGATCTATACACTGAGGAGCAGAATTGCTGAGTCATAGGGTATCTGGATTCTTAATTCGACTAAGTCATTCCAAATGACTTTCCCAAACGCTGTTCTGCCAGTACCCGCTCCTCTCAGTCAATCCTTGGCGTTATCCAGTCTTCTGCCTCCTTCACTATCTAGCTGGCCCCTGTAGGCCTTCTCGTTTGCAATCCCTGCGCTTGGTGCTATGGGAAATGAAGAAGAATATGAAACAGTCCTTCCTCTCAAGGAAATGCTAGAAGTTTGTGATACAGCCAGGGAGGTTTGAGAAGAGCCTATGGGGTCGGGCGCAGTGGCTCACACCTGTAATCCCAGCACTTTGAGAGGCCGAGGTGGGTGGATCACCTGAAGTCAGGAGTTCGAGACCAGCTTGGCCCACATGGCGAAACCCCATCTCTACTAAAAATACAAAAAATTAGTTGGGCATGGTGGTGTGCGCCTGTAATCCCAGCTACTCGGGAGGCTGAGGCAGGAGAATTGCTTGAACTCGGGAGGCGGAGGTTGCATTGAGCTGAGATCGTGCCACTGTAACAAGATCTGCCTGGGTGACAGAGCAAGATTCCGTCTCACAAAAAAAAAAGAAGAAGACAAAGGAGGAGGAGGAGGAGGAGGAGGAGGAGGAGAACCTATGGGACAGAAAAGACGGCAGGGGACAGAACTTGTTGGGACTTAACTACCCTTCTCCTTGACTCCAGCCTCTCATTTCCGGGCAATGTTGTATTGACTGGACTCCTACGCCACCCTTTCTCCTCCTTACAGAGAGAGAGAGAGAAAGCTGGTTAAGACACTGCGGGAATCCCTTGGGTTTGCGCACCTTGTTCTCTGTGGCATGCTTCTCCTTTTCAACTTTCGTCAAGGTCAGCTCCAGGTCATCAATGTCTCTCTTGAGAGAGCAGCATTTGTCTTCCAGATTCCTCTTCTTGGCAACCAGTTCAGAATTCATGTCCTCTTCCTCTTCCAGTCTCTCAGTCAGCTCCTTGACTTTTGCTTCCAATAGGATCTTGCTTTTGATGAGTCCTTCACACCGTTCCTCAGCGTCCATCAGATTTTCCGTTTCCTGAAAGAACCAGGTCATTTTATGTTTTGATTGGCCTCTTTGAAAATGCTACAAAGAAAGGGTGTCACCCTCTTAAAGCCCATTATCTACGCCTAAGCCAAGAAATGGGTCATGCACACACATGCATGCACATGTGCACACACCGCACACATACATGTACATAAACTTAGATATCACCCATAAACACATTTTTTTTTTCTTTTTAGATGGAGTTTTGCTGTGTGGCCCAGGCTGGAGTGTGGTGGCGCCATCTTGGCTCACTGCAACCTCTGCCCCCCAGGTTCCAGCGATTGTAGTCCCGAGTTGCTGGGATTACAGGCATGTTCTACCACACCTGGCTAATCTTTGTAATTTTTGTAGAGATGGGATTTCACCATGTTGGCCAGGCTGGTCTCAAACTCCTGACCTCAGGTCATCTTTCCGCCTCGGTCTCCCAAAGTGCTGGGATTACAGGCGTGAGCCACTGCACCTAGCCAGTATACATGCTGTTTTTTTGTTTGTTTTTCACTACCAAGGACATTGCTTATAGAAATTCGCATTTAATAATTTGTCCATTTATTTCTTTAGAGACAAGGTCTTGCTCTGTTGCCAAAGCTGAAGTGCAGTGGTGTGAGATAGCCCACTGCAGCCTCACACGCCTGTCTCAAGTGATCCTCCCACCTCAGCCTCCCAAGTAGCTGGAACTACAAGGTATGTGCCACCATGACTGGCTTCTTTTTGTGTGTGTGTACAGATGGGGTCTCAATGTGTTGCCCAGGCTTGTCTCAAATTTTAGCCTCAAGTGATCCTCCTGCCTCAGCCTCCCAAAGTGCTGGGAGGCTACAAGTGTGCGCCCCCATGCCTGGCCTCACTTATAATAATTTCAAACAGAGGAGTTCGTGAAGTTACAAGTTCATTTTAAAGAATGAAGCCTCTGGAAATTTGCCACATTTGAACAGCTGTTCATCTCACTCTTCCTGCTACCACCAGTTGGAAAATGACTCATCTACTCCATGTTATCTCAAGCTGACAAAATCGTTTCAAAACATTACTATCTTTTAACTTCCATTAAATTTGTTTTTAAATGTATGTATTTATTTATGTTCTAGAGATAAGGTCCCACTATGTTGCCCAGGCTGGTCTTGAGCTTCTGAGCTCAAGTGATCCTCCTGCCTTGGCTTCTGAAAGTGTTGGGATCACAGGCAGGAGCCACCAGGCCTGGTCCTTTCAATGGAAAAGTTCTTCCTGTGTCTCCTTAGCTGTGTCTCCTTGAACCACAGAACAGATAATTAAAAACACCCAAGAATTCGTGATTGAATACATGCAGTGAGTCTCTTGGACAGACCAACATTAGCTCCTTCTGTTCTAAATCAGGCTGTGTCTTCCCATATAAGAGTATTTATTTATTTATTTTTTGAGACAGAGTCTCGCTGTGTCTCCCAGGCTGGAGTGCAGTGGTGCAATCTCGGCTCAATGCAAACTCCACCTCCTGGGTTCAAATGATTTTCCTGCCTCAGCCTTCTGAGTAGCTGGGACTACAGGTGCGCACCACCATGCCCGGCTAATTTCTGTATTTTTAGAAGAGACGGGGTTTCACCATGTTAGCCAGGATGGTCTTGATCTCCTGACCTTGTGATCCACCTGCCTCGGTCTCCCTAAGTGCTGGGATTACAGGCATGAGCCACCACGTCCAGCCTATATCCTCCCATTTCTTTGATAAAACTATGTATGTTTAAAGCACTTTTTTTTTTTGAGATCGGGGTCTCACTATGTTGCCCAGGCTGGAGTGCAGTGGCATGTTCTCAGCTCACTGCAGCCTCAACCGCCTGGGCTCAGGTGATCCTCCCACCTCAGCCTTCTGAGTATGTTGGACTAGAGACATGCACCACCATGTCTGGCTAGTTTTTTTATTTTTTTATTTTTATAGAGATGGGGTTTTACCATGATACCCAGGCTGGTCTTGAACTTCTGGGCTCAAGCGATCCTCCCACCTCGGCCTCCCAAAGTGTTGGGTTTACAGGCATGAGCCACCGTGCCTGGCCTAAAGTACTTTTTATACATTATTTTAAATCATATATGGACAATTACTCTTGCGACTTTGAATTCGGTTAATTTTGATTATTTTTGTTTGTATTGTTTTTTAAAAGGTGTGGTGCATATATGTATGACACATATATATCCCTCATGCCCACAGCAAAATATATCTAACTCTGTGATGTCGGGGACAAATCAGAGCACAGATTCTCTTTGCAGACATAATTTCTGGCACTCACTGCTTTGGCGAAGCCCGGGACCAGGCATCCTTTTACGAGCGGGGTGGTGCTGCAATACTCCACAAGACCACTGGGTGGCACCACTGTCTCTTGAATAGACACCTGATGGTGCCCTCAACCTTCCTCCCCCTTTTCTGTCCTCCAGAGTCTGTGTTTTGCGTTCTTAAGTAGGAGGTACTTACAGACTGGACCTGCAATTGGAGGTCATTCTTTTCCTGCAGCAGGGAGACCATTTTCTCCTCCAGCTCCTTCCGGCGAGCCTCAGATCGGGCCAGTTCTTCCTTGGTCCTCTCGAAGTCTTCCTTCATGGTGGCCATCTCCTTCTCGGCCTCTGCACTCTTCAGTAGGGGCTTGATTTTGAAGAACAGGTTCATCCAGGGCCAGTGCTTGACGTTCATAAAAGAGCGGATGTTGTACTGGATGCAGAAGATGGAGTCCCTGTACACCCATTAGGACTCAAATTAATAAACCCAGCAAGGTCTGGTCTCTGCACCCCCCACCTGTCCCCCACGGGCCCATCCTCCATCCTTCCTGGTTAGGTGGGGAGGTGCAGCCAAGCTTGGCAGATCCTCTGGATCCAGAGTAGGTCTGCAAATGAGGGGCAGAGGAGACAGAGGCACGTGCACAGGTTGGAAGGTAGGAGAGGTCGTGGGGCCTCCTGCAGGCACCTGGTCACCTGGCTGCCCCTTCCACCACCCTACTGAGTGCCCTGCCTGAGGGCGTCAGTGACTTCCTAATGCTCAGTTCAAGGACTAGCTGTCATTCCTATTTGATTGGGTCTTTCTCCCACATTTGATGTGTTAACCAGTTCTCAACTTTTGAAACTTTCTCTGCCCTAGATTCCATCAACATGTTTCCTGTTTCATTGTATTTTGCCATATGAGGTCCCTCTTTCTTGCTGAAGAAACCAAGGACTTGTCCTTGGTCATCTCCCAGTCTCTTGCCCTGGTAGAGTTGATCTGTCTTCCCAATTTCTTTCTATATATTTTTTTGAGACTTTTTTTTTTTTGAGACGGAGTCTTGCTCTGTTGCCCAAGCTAGAGTGTAATGGTGCAATCTTGGCTAACTGCAATCTCCACCTCCTGGGTTCAAGCAATTCTTCTGCCTCAGCCTCCTGAGTAGCTGGGATTACAGGTGTGCACCACCACGCCTGGCTGTTTTTTTTTTTTTTTTTTTTGAGACAGAGTCTTGCTCTGTCGCCCAGGCTGGAGCACAGTGGCATGATCTCGGCTTACTGAAAGCTCCGCCTCCCAAGTTCACAGCATTCTGCCTCAGCCTCCCGAGTAGCTGGGATTACAGGCGACTGCCACCATGCCCGCCTAATTTTTTGTATTTTTAGTAAAGACAAGGTTTCACCATGTTAGTCAGGATGGTCTCGATCTCCTGACCTCGTGATCCACCCGCCTCGGCCTCCCAAAGTGCTGGGATGACAGGCGTGAGCCACCACGCCCGGCCCATGCCTGGCTAATTTTTGTATTTTTAGTAGAAACGGGGTTTTGCCATGTTGGCCAGGCTGGTCTCGAACTCCTGACTGCAGGTGATCTGCCCGCCTCGGCCTCCCAAAGTGCTGGGGTTACAAGCGTGAGCCACCACAACCAGCCTGTATTCCTAATTTCTACTGCTGTTTTCATCCCAGCGTCACCCACATGATCTCCTCCCCTTCACCCTCCACAGCTTTGTATTTACATAGCTTATGGATTCCTGTACACTGGCTTCTCTCTGCCTTCTTGAGATTCTTTTCATCTCCGTGCTGGCTTCCATCTGCTTCACCAAGCTCGATGCCTGGGAGTCATTCCTGACGCATATGTAATGGCGGTCCATTATGGCTCTGACAGTCAGAGTCACAGGGGATCAGGGAACCAGGGAGAACAGGCTCTCTCCCACACTCTCCCTGCAATCCCTGCAGTCCTCAGTGCTGCTATTCCTTCTCTTGAATTATCAAAGGAATCAGACTTAAACATTCCTTTAATCCGTGCCCTGCTCTCTAACCCACCAACCATGTCCTACTTCAGGTCCTTGTCATCCCTTGTTTGGACTTCTACCACACTGTGGTCTTGCCCCTCCATAGCCCTTGTGTTCACCCTCCTCCTAGCTGCCAGAGTGACGCAATCCTACCCCTCGTCTCCCCACACACCTTCTACAGCTCTCCATCAATGACAGGGTGCAGCCTGGGTTTCCGAATGTGACACACAGGGACCTCCACTGCCTGCCTCTTGCTCTAGATTCCAATGACAGCCATTTGCTTGTCGGGCTTCCTCCCAGACCACCCACTCTTAGGTTATGTAGACCTTGCTTCAGGAAGTGCTTTCTTCAGCCAGGCATGCTGGCGCACACCTGTAATCCCAGCACTTTGGGAGGCTGAGGCGGGCGGATCACCTGAGGTCAGGAGTTCAAGACCAGCCTGGCCAACATGGTGAAACCCCATCTCTACTTAAAAAAAAATAAAAAAAATGTGTGTGTGTGTATATATATATATATATATACATACATAAATATAAATTAGCCAGGCATGGTGGTACACGCCTATGATCCCAGCTATTAGGGAGGCTGAGGCAGGAAGGTCACTTGAACCTGGAAGGTGGAGGTTGCAGTGAGCTGAGATTGTGCCACTGTACTCCAGCCTGGATGACAGAGCAAGACTCTGTCTCAAAAAAAAAAAAGTGCTTCCTTCTTGCCGACATCTTCATGCCAACTCCAACCCCCCAACTAGGCTAGCGGCTTATTCTTGCCAGTTCCCTATCCCCCGACTATAACACGAACATTGCGCTTGTCACAGGCATTAAAACCAGCCATGCACGTGTCTGCTTCCCACTCCTTTGTGACCCTGTGAGGCAGGGTTCATTTCTGTCTCCCCAGTGCCATGCAGAGCTCCCAGCCCAGGATTGCCGCTCAGTAGATGTGGGTTACACAAATGAAGGAAAGAAAGAGCAAGCACATGGATATCCCAAGATGAAAAGCAGGGAGCGACAATCAGCTGCTAAGCAGAGAAGGCAGGATAAGGTGGAGGTGAGGGTCTGTGTCACCTCCTCTCCATCATCTTCTTGAACTCCACCCGCATCAGGTAGCCCCTGCACACGGCCTGCGTGCGCGTCATTAGCGTCACCAGCTTCTCGTCTCTCATCTCCTCCAAAAGCCCCAGGAGCCCAGCTTTGAAAAACACCTGCATTAAAAGACAGAGGAGCCTTGATCTTTTTCCCCAGCAGGTGTTCAGCCGGGCCCTTGAGGGAGCCTGTTTCTGCCCAACTCTGAGCCTCAACCTCAGAGCATGGCAGGGGCAGCAATTCCGTTTCCAGGACTTGCTTCTCGGTGACTCTGGTCTCCTCAGTGGCCTCTCCTGGGCAGTGAGGCAGCCTGTTCCAGAGTCTGTTCCAGGCCAGGTGCGGTGGCTCATGCCTGTAATCCCAACTCTTTGGGAGGCCGAGGTAGGCAGATCATTTGAGGTCAGGAGTTCGAGACCAGCCTGGCCATCATGGTGAAACCCTGTCTCTACTAAAAACACAAAAATTATCCGGGTGTGGTGGTATCCGGGCACCTGTAATCCCAGATACTCAGGAGGCTGAGGCTGGAGCATCACTCGAGCCTGGGAGGTGGAGGTTGCAGTGAGCAGAGATTGCGCCACTGCACTCCAGCCTGGGTGACAGAGCAAGACTGTGTCTCAAAACAAAACAAACAAAACAACAACAACAAAAACCCAAAACAACAACAACAAAAAACCTGTTCCAGGCCCCACCAACCCACAGAGAGCAGTTCTGACAGAGCTCATGTACAGGAAACAAAGGTGAGTCCAGAAAGAAACCATGGGATGCGATCGCGCCCAGATCAGAGAGACTCACAGATGCGTTGGCTTCACTCTCTTTCTCTGTACATCCGGGAACGTTGGTCCTACCCTCAGGCCCTCCCTCCGTAACAGTCCAGGGAAACCAAGCGCCCTCTGGGGCCAGCAGGCTCTTCCTTGGTGGCGACCCCCAGCCTGCCCCTTTCTGAGATGTGAATCTTCGGAGGCAGGCCAGGATTTGAAGCCGACCTTTGCCACTTACTATCTATCCATGTGTGACCTTGAGTCAGTTTCTCAACCTCCCAAGAACTTGATGAGTCAGTGCCACCCTTGTCACCATCACTCCCACCTCGCTGGATAGTGAAGAGTCAGTGAAGTCCGTGCAGGAGGCTTCTCACGGGGCTGATACTCACGTGCTCAATAAATGGCAGCTAGGTTGTCTTCATTTTTGTGTTTTGAGACAGGGCTTCGCTCTGTTGCACAGGCTGGAGTGCAGTAGGGTGGTCAAGCGCACTGCAGCCTCCATCTCCTGGCCGCAAGCAATCCTACTTCAGCCTCCCAGAAGCAGTGGGATTATCGGCATGAGCCACTGCGCCCCGCCTGGTAGCTGGTTTTATTGGTTATAGTCATTGTTCTCAAGGCCTCGGTGTCCGTGGAGTCCTCTCTACGTTCTCCTCTCTTTTCGGCTCTTTCTTACCTCGGACACTAGAGTTCCCCATTGGCTTTTCCCATCCTTGCTGCATGGTGGGGCTCAGGCTTCCAGTCTAAGCTTCCAGCCACATACAAACCAATAGGGAGATAAGCTCTCTCTACCTAGACACAGAGCTCCCTTTACCTGGGCGACTGGGCAAGGACGGTCAGGTGCACCAGAAGGGGAAAGGGATCAGCTAACAAGCAGCCCAGGGCTGTGGGGTTACTAGAGGAGTCCCAGCCTCGCCTGTACTCACCTTGGTGTTGCCGAACCTGAACTGCTCCCGGTCCACATCGATGGAGTTCAGGAGCTTCTCTGAGGCGTTTTTGCTATCAATGAACTGCCCTTCAGGGATAGCACTGGCATTGAGGATCCGGTACCTAAGGAGAGAGGATATTTCCCGGATGGATTCCAATCCCCGGAAAGGCTTCATAGCTGAGACCAGGCCTTCTAGAATCTTCTCTTGTTCCAGCCTTAGGAGGAAGTGGAATATTGTACAGCTGGTCTGGGAGATGGGAATAGCTAGGGGCTGATTCTAGCAAGGGGGCCACGGTGGGTGGGAGAGAAGCGTGAAAGAAGGAAGCCCAGCTGAGTGCATGGCGGGAAGTTTGCTTTCAGAGGAAATGATTCTTCTCTGGCTTAAAAGAGCCTTGAAATCAACCGTGACCTGCAGACCTTGGTTCTCCTACTTCTGGAAGGTCCTTTCCTGTCTTCCATCCTGGATGAGGCCTGGACTTGCGCACCCCAATGGCGGCTCAGAGAACAGAGTTAGTCTAGAGCTGCGGGCCTCAGCTGGGGGTGATCTGGCAATGTCTGGAGAGTTTTGATTGTCACAGCTCAGCGGGGAGGGGTGGGGTTCGCTACCACATCTCTGAGTAGAGGGCAGGGTTACTGCTAAAATCCTCCCACACCCAGCACAGCCTCCACAATAAAGGACTGAATGTCTAGCCTGAATGTCCATAGTTCAGAAGTTGAGACATCCTGGCCTAGAGTCGCAATCAGGCTAGAGGGTCTGGGCTCTGAATTTGGAACCACTTGGAGCGCCCAGCACTCACTGTGGGCATCGTGTCAGTTCCTCCAGCAAGAGATGAAGTCCGTGGAAACCCTGGGAGGCTTGGGAGCTCAGCAAATACCCAGGCCGAAGAGTGTCTTTGGGGAATGCAGAAGTTGCCCTCGGAAGGAGAGAGATGCACAGGAGAGAGGGAACCTACCGCTGCTTGAAGTCAGCATAGAGGATCCGGCTAGGGAATCCCTTTCTGCAAATCCGGATGCCCTCGAGGACCCCGTTACAGCGCAGCTGGTGCATGACCAAGTAGTGATCCATCACACCTGGAGAGAGAACGTCCCAGAGGTGTGCCTGTGACCCCTTCATTTGTTGTTGGTGGTCTGAGGCACCATGAAACCCTCCAGCACATCCACACTTGAGTGGCAGAGTCAGTGCCAGCTCCAAGGTAGAGGGCTGGGAGTGGCCGGAGCCTGCCTGCAGGTCCCACAGTAGAAATAATCCCAACCTCCTGGGGAGATGCTAGCACCCCATAACCATGGCAGTAAGAGCCAAAGCATTGTACTTTCTGTCCTCAGCCCTGACTCTGTAGCAAGGCTGCAAAAGGGGGCAGAGTGAATACGGGGTGCACTTGGGCTTCCTGTGGGATAACCTGAGATGTCTTCTTGCATCTACACAAGGATGGAGTTGGAAAAATCTTCAGGCTGCGGCTGCAGAAGAGTAACCCAGCAAAGAAGAGGAGGCCGGCTGGGCGCGGTGGCTCATGCCTATAATCTCAGCACTTTGGGAGGCCGAGGTGGGCGTATCGCCTGAGGTCAGGAGTTCAAGACCAGCCTGGCCAACATGGTGAAACCCAGTTTCTACTAAAAATACAAAAAT